CAGAAAATAGGTGAAAAACCTAGCACGATTGCAAGGCCAGTATTAAAAACTTATCGTATATTCGGTACGACAGAGAGGTTTTATGACCTGACCTGTTGATCATAATGTTGCCTTTAGTCAAATACTGTATTATAACCCTATGTAAGTCATTAAATCAATTTGGAAAAAATTGCAAACCAGAAGACAATATTCTTTGTCGTAACAATATTAAAGAATCATTCAAATTACGATTACTATTACTTTCTTTTACAATTTTATGCAAAATTGTATTAGTTTCATAAAGCTAAATAGAATTTATTTTTATACATATTATTTGAGGATTTCAATTACAACGTTTTTATCTAAAAATTGATCCAATTCAAAAATATTTAATTTATAAATTATCATTTTCAAATAAAAAAATTTAGCATTCTTAACAAATACTTTAATTTGTCGTGATCGCAATGCCACATCCCCTCTCAATAATAATAATATACTTTATATATAACTATATCTATGGTCAAGCAGAGTTAGTTGCTGTTCTCCGTTTTGTTATTGATAATAATATCTGTAATACTTGAAACCATACCATATTGGCGAGAAAACATTTTAATAAAAAAATTTGGATGGTCATGACATAGTGCCTCGCTTGAGTATAAGAAACTTATAAAGCAGTGGTTACGCTTCTATGCTTATTAACTATATACATATCGAAGACACAATCATAGCTAAACAGAGATTCATATATATAATCACATATGGAACTGAAGCATTTCTCGTAGGCAGCAATATTAAGCAAAAAATATATATGCAATTTTTATTAAAGATGTTTTAGAAATATTCTATTAATTGGACGACTAAGCAATAAGAATGCCGCACATAGTACACCAGAAAAATATATGTATAAAACAAGATATTTGCAACTTCAGGTACGCTTTACGAAAGTCTTACGAAATCGCAAGGAAATAAGATGTGATGAAAATTAAGAATATTATGAAAGCAAATTAGTTTAAACGACACCAAATCCTTTCACGCACTTTGGCTTTAAGAATGTCCCAGAGAAACATTACATATTGATAGCGTACGAACTTAATGGAGTCGGGCTTTTATATATGTAAATACTCGTATATGTATAATCTATGCAGTTGAAGTTCAGTTCAACAAAAAAACTAACATTATCACTTAATTGATCTGTGTCCTTTAGCTAAGCAAGAATAAATATCCTTTACACATCCACAGATTTCTTCTGTAAGGAGTTACGAATATCTCTGGACTTAAATTATATTTTTAAATTATGTTTGTGAAATATACAAAAAAAATTGAACGAAAAAATAAGGAAGTGTATTTCTTTTAATGTAACTCGAATTCATCTACTTCAATTGATCGTTACTCGTAACATTAGAATCTAATACAACTGAAATTTTATCGAACGTCTACAGAAAATTTGCTTTAACTTATAACAAAATATTTTAATTTCATTAAATGACCAAACGTTTATGTACAATATGTACTCAATTACTGACATTATAATAACATCAACAAATCCTAAATAAAATGATCTGATATTTACTAAAGGTTCTCCATCGGGACTTGAAGATCGAATCTCTAGATACAGTAATACTGGATCCAGTAATACAAAAGTTTGCGGTAAAGTATCAAAAACGGTTACAGCAGCACCCACACAAGACAGCCCACCACTTGTCTAATACATCTGGCCGGCTGAGGATACTAAAACGAATCAAGCCTTCAGGTCTTCTCCCGAATTAGTAGTCTAATAATAACTTAGATTACAAAACTATTAGCACTAAAATCTTGATAATTGTAAGTCTTTGACTACTTGACAATTGTGAAACGTATTGTAAAATATAACAAAACTCGTAGATAGTGCTCTGTACTTGAACTAGTCGTAGTCAAATGAAATATGTATTTATATTATTGTACATATTGTGTTTCATATAATAATAAAAAAAAAATAATAATATATATAAAAATATGAAATACATAAATACTCCATACACTTTCGTTACGTTACACATGAATTGAAAAGCTTAAGTACCAGCTAACAGCATCAAAAATGTGAAAATAAAAAAGCCGAAGAATAATTTGCAAAAAATTACTATAGGTAATATCTGTTTGAACATATCCTAAGTTAAAAAATACCTATATTGAACACTTTTTAATAATCATCTTGTACTCTAACTACTTATATTAGGTATAATTTTGTATGACATATTAACTTTTTCGTATCGCTACTGATATGAGTAGTACACCTGCACGTTGCACAGTGGCAGCGCGAGTGAGAGACCGCTACTATATCGGTTTTCTAATATGTGTTTAGTGTTTACACTTATCAGTTGACGAAATCACACACATTGTTGACAATCTTAAGTCTGCCCGTCTCTCCGACTCTCCAAGAACGACAGCAATACGAGCAATTTCACACTTTCGACAAGCATTTTGATCATTCAATCGATAACATTTAACTACTGTCAAGCGATATATGCGCCTTTGGTCTTTTGTTTACAGTGAAGCCGGTCTTGTCCGGTTTCAATTTCTACTGTATAATTTTATACAATATCATTTTATTTTATTTTGAAATTGAACATTTCTCACACTCGACTAAAAATTTATAACACACATATTTACCATAAAATTTTATTCATGAGTGTATCTTAAATTTTTTTTTGTTTTTTTTTTTTTGTTGATATATCTACACGAAGAATTTTATGAATAATTCATAAAAGACAAAAAGTTTCAAATCTTAGCTTCGGAAGCATGCATGCATCTCAACTTTGATATGGTAGATATGGTGAAGTTGGTCTTTTAAGGGCCAAAATTGCTGCGAGTTAGTAGTTATGTGTATAAAGTAAACAAAGTTTTTTCGGGAATTAAATCTAAATAGATTTGCTTTTATAATTATGGGGCGCCAGCCACTGTTTTACTGTATTTTTTGTTTAGTGTCATTTGGAACACCAGCTACGGAATGAAACTGTGAATGCAGGTAATCGATATCAGCTTCTTTAAAAGAGTGGTCCAAATGCTTAACCTGTTCCTGATAGTGATCATCACTAATCATTTTTCATGACTAAACATGGTGCGAGCATAAAGACTATGCTGAAACAGCAAATGCGTATGTTATATTTGATAGAAAGCGATTTTAGCATAACTATTTAATTTGTTGATTTATAAAATATTTTAAATATCATAATTAATCATTTCCAGTATATGAATATCCAGTATTTTAATAAATATTATATATAAAGGAAATTCTCAAAAAAAATTTAAAATGTTAGGCTGGCGCCAAACGTGGTGACCACCTGCTGTTTCTCTTCGCATCCTTGTTAGCAATACAAACCTACGAAATTATTTGTTTGTTTTTTTTTTAAGAATCTTTGGTCCTTTTTAACGATTCTGCATTTGAAGAAGTATGCGTAGATTTGCTTTGTTAATATATTTGTAGAAGAATTTCTGAAAGGCATACAATTAAATATTTGTAACGCCCTCCTTAGAAGTCAACATTTGCTTCATGCACACAAGCATTTCCTTATCTTTAATTTATTTACTTTTTTAATGTTGGTTTCTTCAAAAAGTTTTGCGCAATATTTATTTAATTAAATGGTTTCATTTGCTTAACATGTCCTTATTTATAGCAAAGGAAAATAATTTGAAACTTTATTTAAATGTTTGTTTATATTTTTTTTACAGACGAATGTTCCCATCTTTACGTCTCTCACTTTCAGGGCTTGAAGAGGAGGCTAACTATTGCGTTTTACTGGAAATGGTACCAATTGGTGATTGTCGTTATAAGTTTTCGGGATCCCAATGGGTACCAGCGGGTGGTGCAGAACCGCAAAGTCCTCAACGTATGTACTTACATCCTGATAGTCCAGCCTCTGGTGCACATTGGCAAGCTCAGCCTATACTTTTTAATAAAGTTAAACTCACAAACAATACACTGGACAATAACGGGCACGTAAGTAATTTTAAAGTAAATATGTAGTATAAATACAGTATATGTATTAATTTCATATGTACTATGATGTTTGGTTGATTTATGGAACCAGTATCACAAAAACTATAATTAGGTGGATTTAAAAATACCCCGCCTAAGTAATAAAAACGCATTATCGTTGGAAAAATTATATTTTATGCTTCAACATAATCCTCTTTAAGCTCGACGCACGGAATCTAACGATCTTTTAACATTTAACATTAACATAGCTTTTAAATAATATGATTTATTAAGTCCTCTAAAATATACCACAGTTTTCAATTCGACTTTATCATTTGATGCAAATCACCTTCCCTGGAGCTATTGTTGGGTGAGCTAATCGTTGATACGATGGGTGAGAAAGCAATTCGTACCGTAATTCATTTAATTTTGCTATGATTTTCATTGACGTGTGAGCGGGTGTTTGCTTCTGCTTCGACAAATATAGTCGTTTATTCTTGATTTTCTCATTCAATCGATCCAATAATATGCAATTGTGGTTTGATGTTATTGTTTTTCCTTTTTCCAAATACTCTATGAAAATTATTCCACTTGAATCCGAAAATACGGAAGCCAAAACTATTCCAATCGATTGTTGAGTTCGTGGTCATTTGGGAGCACTACCTCCGGACTCGACCCATTCTCTGGCTTGTTATTTTCTCTCAGGTGTGAAGTAATGGAACCATGTTTCATCAATTGGCACTACTCAAAGCTTACAGTCAACTAGATTGTACATAAACATTTCCATACAATGTTTTGAATGATGAAGTCGTTGTTGTTTTTGATCAATTGTGAACAAACGCGTAAACAGAATCAATTTCCAATTAAATTAAATTGCATCATTGTTCATTGGAATCTTTTTACTGAATGATATTCAATTTTTTTCATTCTTAAAAAATCACCAAGGTTCACTATTTCAATTATTTTGCAAAGAGATAACTAAATATCTGATGAAGTTTCAAGGATTGAACTCGTTTCCTGCCAAATTTCAAGCTCAGAGTCTGTGTTCATTAGCCAACTGACCCAAAGACGTACTTAACTTGTATGTTCAAACTTGGAATTTTGTAAATCTGCTGTAAAAGTTCATTAAAAAATTCATTTGTTGTGTTATATTAGAACAAATCATAAGCCAGCTGTAGAATATTTAAATTAATTAATTATTTCTTTTGTAGAGGCAATATTTATTGCATGATTTTATTACTCTTTCTTGAGTATACAACGGAAAATACGGAAAAAGTCATGTTCATGATACTCCACGATTCGCTCAGGCGAAGCTGGACAGTTGAATAAATATTTCTATTCATATTTTATTCTATAGTAATTATATATTAAATTGATTTTTAACGTCCGTTTTGACGAAAGAAACTAAATTCTTAATATAACACGAATTCTTAATATATTATAATATAATAAAATAATATTTTTTTATGCTTAATTATTTCCTAAATTGTATATTTAATTTTAAATATAATATTCCAAACTCAAAGACTCAATGACTTTCCAAAATGCAGAACGATTTAAAACCATATACGCCCAACTTTATAAGTATTAAATAAAACGCAATGGCAGATAGTTAGGTGTGTTATATGGTAAGAAGGAACCTCTTGATATCAAAGTGCTTAAAACATCAATAGATTTTTTCATAATACTCATTTAGGTTTGTAAACATGTACTTGAACTTTTCATATATTGACTTTTCTAGCACTTCTTATAGCGACTTTTCCTAGTCGACAATATCGACTCGACACTACTGCTCCACGTTTAACCACCTGCATTAGTTGTTTATGTTTTTATTTATAAAATTTTTACTTCAAAATTACGTCAAAATTTTAGAATTACTAAATATTTATTAATTAATATTAATAATTAAAATGATTGTTCTTCATTTTCAGATTGTATTGGCGAGTATGCACAAGTATCAGCCACGCATCCATATCATTCGCACGGCGGATCTAACGCAGATACCGTGGGCACCGCAACAAGCATTCTTATTTCCAGAAACTGAGTTTGTAGCAGTCACTGCCTATCAGGTAAGTTAACTGTTAATACACTAATATCCGATTTAGGGAAACCTATTTAATTAACCTTAACATATGCCACAGTATCCGCAATCGCCTATAAAAACACATACTACTTCCCAAAACATATAATTTAATTGATTAGCCAAAGTAAATGCTTTTAAAAATTTACCAAATTGGCTAAGAGACAAAAGCACAGCAGCTAAAACTTATACAAATTAACAATACACGCCTACACTCATTCATCTTTCCATTACAAAGTGGATTGGTGCTGTTGTTTTAGGAAAACGACCATCATCCTTGTTAACAACCGAAATATTTAAGTGGCATAATTGTGCACTTGCTGAGTTTTTCATGCATATGCATTCATACACCGATTTTAAAGTAGTACTCATATATCCTGTCTGTCTGTCTGGCCACTTGGCTGCAAATTAGTTCAATACAGACGTCAGTTTGTCGGTGCCTAATTAGCGTGTTCACTGTCTGTGTCTCAAAGTTGTCAAGTCATCCTAAAATCTGAATGATTTTATGGGTGAAAAAGTACAGCTTCAACATTTTTTTGTTACTTAACACTTTTATAGAAGACGCTATTATCATATTTCACACAATTTAGTAACGATATCTGCCAAAAATCTCAAAAAATGAGGGAATTATTAAAATGAGTGAATGAAATAAACAGTATATTTCAATGTATTCATTTTTATTTTTATAAATTCACAGAATGATCGCATCACAAAATTAAAAATCGACAACAATCCATTTGCAAAAGGTTTTCGTGAAACTGGACAGTCGCGATGCAAGCGTAAAATGTCTTCATCACCCTCCAATGAAGATCATGATAATAATATGCAACAGGAAGGCCAACAACAACGACTTTTACAACAACAACAAAGTGATCTGTCGCCGATGAAATCCAATTCAACAACGAACAGTAGTGATTCGGTTCCGTCAATTTGTTTTGATAAAACTGCATTAGGAGCTTTGCCCGAAACCAACGATTTTGAAATTAGTCAACAAATTAAACGCATAAAATCAAATGGTTCCGCTTGCTCTACAACGTCGCAAGAAGAAATTAACATAATTAGTGGTATTAGCGAAATCGACCAGATTA